CTTGTGACGGTTCCCGGGGATCACCTGCCCTGCACGCAAAGCCTTGATCGGACACATGATCCAGCCGCCAGGGACCTGGGGAGCAGCTTCAGCCGGTGTCTGTGATGTCCTTCCCAGAAGGCTGTGCCTGCCTCCGTGTCTCCTGACGACAGGTGTCCTCACGTCAGCCACGCCCTCAGCCCAGAGCCCACCCGCCACAGGGCAGCTTAGCGCTCCTCATGAAAGGAAATCCAATCACACTTCTCCTCAGCCTGATATCCTCTCAATCAGGGCTGAAGTGGTGGTGCAGCAGCTTAAGCTACCTCTAGGGCTGCCGGCATCCCCTATCGGAGTGCCAGTTTGAGGCTCAGCTCTTCTGCTTCCAGTTCAGCTTCCTGCTAATGTGCCTAGGAAAGCAGTGGAAGATGGTCCACATTGTTTTTTGGCTTTGCCCAGTTCCACTTGTTGTGGCCATTTGGGCAGTGAACCAATGGCTAAAAGATTCTTTTTTTTTTTTTTTTTAAGATCTATTTATTTTTATTGGCATGTCAGATTTTACAGAAAGTAAGAGAGACAGAAACAAAAAAGAAAAGTGAAACAAAATAAAGATGAAAAAGAGACACACACAGAAAGATCTCCCACCTACTGGTTCACTTCTCAAGTGGCCACAATGGACAGAGCTGAGCCAGTCCAAAGCCAGGAGCCAGGAGCTTCTTCTGGGTCTCCCACACTGGTGCAGGATCTCAAGGCTTTGGGCCATCCTCAACTGCTTTCCCAGGCCACAAACAAGGAGCAGAATGGGAAGCAGGGCCACTGGGACACAAAGCAGTGCCCATATGGGATCACGGCAGTTGTATGGTGAGGATTTATCCACTAGGCTATCACACTGGGCCCTCACTGTGCTCTTCAAATAAAATTTTTAAAAATAAAGCTTTAAAAGATATTTCTTGGGGGCTCGGCACAGTGGCCTAGCAGCTAAAGGCCTCACCTTGAACACACTGGGATCCCATATGGGCACTGGTTCTAATCCCAACAGCTCCATTTCCCATCCAGCTCCCTGCTTGTGGCCCGGGAAAGCAGTCGAGGATGGCCCAAAGTCTTGGGATCCTGCACCCACATGGGAGACCCCAGAAGAAGCTCCTGGCTCCTGGCTTCAGATCAGCGCAGCACCAGCCATTGTGAACACTTGGGGAGTGAATCATCAGACGGAAGATCTTCCTCTCTGTCTCTCCTCCTCCTTTCCGTATATCTGACTTTCCAATAAAAATAAGTAAATCTTAAAAAAAAATTTTTTTCTTAGAAGATCTTTATACATACATTTTACTTTGACAAGGGTTACTGTTTGCTTTTTAATTTCTATTTGTTTTTAAGATTACTTGTATTGGAAAGGCTGATCGGATTTACGGAGAGAAGGAGCAACAGAGAGAGACTCCCAGTAACTTGTTCACTTCCCAAGTGGCAGCCATTGCCTAAGCTGAGCCCGTCCAAAAACAGGAGCCAGGAGGTTTTTTTCGGGTCTCTAACATAGGTGCAGGGTCCCAGGGCTTTGGGTTATCCTCTACTGCTTTTCTAGGCCACAAGCAGGGAGTTAGATGGGAAGTGGAGCAGCTAGGATATGAACGTGCATGTGCAAGGCAATGATTTAGCCACTCAACCATCGCATCAGGCCCTTCTATTTCCGCCTTTTTTTTTTTTAAAGATTTATTTTATTTTTATTGGAAAGGCGGAGAGACAGAGAGGAGAGACAGAGAGGAAGATCTTCCCTCTGATGATTCACTCCCCACGTGGCCACAACGGCTGGAGTTGAGCCAATCCAGGAGCCAGGAGCCTCTTCCGGGTCTCCAACGCGGGTGCAGAGTCCCAAAGCTTTGAGCCGTCCTCCACTGCTTTCCCAGGCCACAGGCAGGGAGCTGGATGGGAAGTGGGGCTGCCGGGATTAGAACCAGTGCCCATATGGGATCCCGGGCGTGCAAGGCGAGGACCTTAACCACTGTGTCATTGCACCGGGCCCTATTTCCACCTTTTAAAAAGAGCTTTATTTAAAAGGCAGATTTATAGACATAAGAAGAGACAGAGTTATCTTCCATCTGTTGATTTACTCACTAAATGGCCGCGTGGGTCAGAATTAAACTGATCTGAAGTTAGGTGCCAGGTGCTTCTTCTGCATCTCCTCTGTGGGTGCAGGGAACCAAGGACTTGAGCCACCCTCCCCGGTTTCCTAGGCCAAAAGCAGGAAGCTGCATGGCAAGAGCAGCCGGAACACAGAGCAGTGCCCATATGGGATACCAGTGTCACATGTGGGTGGAGACTTGAACTTCTATGTTAAACCGCCAGCTCCTGCACATACATTTTTAAACAAAAGAATCTGCTCTTCAGCAACTTCTCCCCACTGCCTCAAGTGCAAGTCCAAGGGCAAGCGTGTGGCTGGATCCTCGGCAGCCCCTGCCAGGATGCATGACTTTTGGTCCCAGCTCCTCTCTCCCCACTAGTGGGCCCCTGGGAGACAGCAGGTCATGCTTCCGTTAGCTGCTTCTTTGCTGTCGAGCTGGCTTGAGCTCCTGGATTCAGCCAGGTCTGGGCCCAGTTGCTGTAGGTATTTCAAGAGTAAGCCAGCATGTAGGAACTCTGGCTGGTTGCTTTTCTCTTTGCCGCTCAAAAATAAACTCCAAACTCCTGCCTGCCTTTTAAGATCCAGGGCCCTCTTAGTGCTTTACATCTTGTCTCCCAGTCACCTTCATGCATACCTTTATTTATTTTCATTTTTCAAAAGTTATTTCCTCTGGGGTAGGCATGGTGGAAGCAGCCAGTTAAGGCACTGCCTTCGCCATTGGCATTCACATGGATGTTAGTTCAAGACCTGGCTGTTCCACTTCCAATCCAGCTCCTACTTATTTGAAAGACAAAGTGACAAAGGAGGTGGGGGAGAAAGAGATCTTGCATGGCTGGTTCACTCCCCAAATGCCCACAACAGCCAGAGCTGTGCCAAGCCAAAATCCTCAGTTTGGAATTCTGTCTCCCACATGGGTGGCAGGGACCTAAGTACAGGCAGTTGTCAGCCAATTCCTCCCAAACACCTTGGCAGGATATTGAATGGGAAACAGAGCAGTCTAGACTCCCACCTGCACTGCACTGTGGGCTGTGGGGTCCCAGTGGGTGTCTAACTGGCTGCTCCCAAGCCTGCCCCTTCCATGTGCTTGTAAGCGGTAAGCTGACATGCTGCCCTCGGGTGCGCACACCGCCCCTTCCACTCAGGATCTTCCTCTCCCAATTGGGAGCAAAGGCCACAGCTTGAACCCAAGCACTCTACGGTGGGCATCCCAGGTAGGCACATAGCTGCTGTGTGGAATGTCAGCCCCTCAAGGTACTTGATTCCCAAATGTGCTTTTCCGCAGCCAACTCGCCACTCTCCTGGAATTCTGCAGCCTCGCCTCAGGCTCCAGGCGTCCACTTTAATGAGTGATCTTTTTAAAAGTGTAAGTCATGGGCCCAGTACAATAGCTCAGTGACTAAATCTGCACCTTGCAAGCACAGGCATCCCATACTGGCGCTGTTCTTATCCCAGCTGCTCCACTTCTCATCCAGGTCCCTGTTGGGTGCCTGGGAAAGCAGAGGAGGATGGCTCAAGTCCTTGGGCCCTTGTACCCACACGGCAGATCGGGAAGAAGCTCCTGTCTCCTGGTTTTTAATCACCTCAGCTCTGGCCATTGCGGCCCTTTGGGGAGTGAACCAGTGCATAGAAGATCCCTGTGTTTCTCCTATGAAATCTGCCTTTCCAACGAAAATGAAGAGATCTTTTTAAAAAAATCCTTTTACAGCCTTCACGTTTCAGTTGGGAAAACAAACAAAGGAACTCCTCCCCGAGCTGTAGGAGCGCCCTGCTTCTCTCTTCTCAGACCCGCTGGCTCCGGAGCAGCTGCCTTCTTCCTGTCCCTTGAATGCATAGAAAGGGTGACGCATGCACAGCCCCGTCCACATAGGATTCCGTTTGACCTCCCCATCCTGGTCCCGCCGAAGCCCCCGGAGTCTCCAGCCCCTGGCCCTGTGTCTAGGCCCCTCGGATGCATGCGTGGCTGGGGGGCAGGCAAGTTTGGTGGAACCAGCCTGTGCAGGACTCGCGGAGTTTGGGCAAGCCTCCGCTTCCTGCTGTGTGAAGTGGGGAGGGTGCAGGAAGTGGGGCGCCGAGCCAGGAGGTGTTGGTTAGCTGTCAATGTTCGGCCTTGTTTTCCACCCAGTCTTCGGCCTGCAGCCAGCCCTCTCAACGTTCGGCCCCTCAGCTCCCCCACCTGTGTAATGGGTGTGAGTTCAGCCCAAGTCCAGAGGTGGTGGCACTGCCTTATAAGGCCGCAGAGGCCGAGGGCGGGCGAGGCCTTGTGGGTGGAGAGACATCACAACATCCGGCAGCGCGGCGGGGCGGGGGCGCCGAGCGGGCGGACGCGAGGTCCCGGGAGCCGCTGGGAAGGCAGCCAGCTCCCCTGGCCTCTCCCCGCTTCCGACACGCACCCTCCAGAAGGGGCCGGGCACACGGCCCAAACCAGCCTGCGGCCCGCCGGCCAGAGGACGCCGGGCACCGGGCGCGTCCCCAACAAAACCCTAGAAAAGCCAGCTGCGAGCCAGACGCCGGGCCACACCCCCGGTGGCGGGCCCAATAGGACGTGCTTCTGAGACGACCGACGCTTCCTTCGCCCAATCACACACCCCGCTTCCTGGGCGTGACCCGGGAGGCCCGCCTCTCCCGTGTAGCGGAGAGCCCGGCCCTAATTGGCAGTTCGGAATCCTACGAAGGCCAGCAAATTCGAACCTAGAGGCCGAGCCCCGCCCACAGACCAACCAGGAAGAGATGACGCATTTAGTCCCGCCCCCGGCCTCCTTCTGGCGAATCTCGGGCTCACGGGGCGGAGCGTGATGAAGAGGCGGACTAATAGGGAGGCGGCGCGGGGAGCGTCCGCCTGGTTATTGGTCGGGTAAAGTAAACAGAGGGCGGGGCGGGGCGGGCCGGCGCCCGGGTGGCCCCGGGAGGGGGCGGAGCGAGCGCGGCGGGCGGCGGCGGCCGGGGAGGCCCGGGAGGCCGCGGCGCGGTCACTGCGATTCGAGCCCAGCCGCGCCGTTCGCCCTCCGGCCCCGGCTCCAGCGCGCGATCCCGGCCGGCGTCGCCGCCCCGGGGGGCCCGGCGGCGCCGCAGCCCATGGAGCTCGAGAACATCGTAGCGAACACCGTGCTCCTCAAGGCCCGGGAAGGTGAGGCGGGCGGCCGGGCGACCGGGCCCCGGGTGCAGGGAACGCGGGCGCGCGGCCTCCGAGCTCGGCGGGCCGCTCCAAGCCGCCGGATCCCTCGGGGCCGCGGGCCAGGCGCGCCGCACCCCGAGCAGACACGAGCCCTTCCGGCCCGTCCTCCTCCGCACCTGCCCTGGGGAGCCGCGGTCCAGGAAGGGGCGGGGGTCAGGCCGCCGCCCTGGCGCGGGGGGCTGGGGGATGAGGGGTGAGGGAAGGAGAGCGGAAGGAAGAGGGAAGGGTGTGACCTGCACCCCACAAGATCCTCTCCGAGGCCTCCTCCAGGTGAGAGGCGAGGAGATGCCCCACGTGCCCCAGGCCCGCACCTCCTGGACCGGCACAGAGTTGGTGTTGGGTAGAGGCTGTGGAATGAATGAACGAAGCTTTGGCGTAGTACTGCACCTCTCCTACCCTCCCCGCTTGGGGAAACCTCCTGGACACAGATGCTACCCACATGGGCTGCCACTTGCTGGGCATCCCCGGAACTCTGAGGACGGCGGTGCATGGGTCAGGTTCTTTGCACTCAGGTAGCCCAGCAGTAGTCTGTGGGAGCTGAGCAGGTGCAGCTGCGCATTAGCTCAAGGGCCTGGCTGAGGGTGCCCCTGCGGTGTCCTGTGTGTGTATGTGGTGTGTGTGTGTCCCCTCAGGCACCCGCTCTATGGGGGCCCTGCAAGACGCAGAAGGTGGTCAGCCTGTAGGCAGCCTGCCCCTCCGCTGCTGTCCACTGCAGTTAACACCATCCCTGGACGCCTACCCGGGGCCCCACCCTGGCCAGGGTGCTGGGGAACCGACAGGAAGCCAGGCTCTGATTTTGGGGAGCCCTCTGACAGGGTATCTCCTACTCTTGCCTGGGCTTCTGGCCTGGAAGGGTCGTGGGCTTCACCTGTCTGCTGCTCCTCCTTGCAGGTGGGAAGACCAGCCCCATGACACAGAGCAAGGGTGTGGGCCCAGCAGCCCAAGGCCCAGCTCATTGTGCAGGAAGGGCAGAGGAGCCCTATCTGGGCACCATCCCTGATGCCCCGTGCCTGCTGGAGGAGGTGCCGCTGGGAGTGGGCACAGCCAGCAGGGTCCATGTGCCCTCCTGTCCTTGACTGAACTCAAGGGACTGGGCCTTCCTCTCAGCCTCTGGGGGCAGCTGCAGATTCTGTTCTGCCTTGTCATGCAGCCAGCCGGGGAGGAGGGGTGGGGAGGGCCCGGCCAGGCTTCCCTTCCCAGGGCTCAAACCTCAGACCTGCCCAGGGCACTCTGCCTGGCCTGGGCAGGCACTTTGCACACTTTTGGATTAGCTTCATTGGGCCATGCAGGAGGCACAGGGCACCCTAGAACCCTTCCCCTGACCTCAGCCCCGCCCACCTTGGAGTTCCTTGTCTCAGGTCAGTGCCCCTTTTTTTGTGCAATGGTTGGGGCTGTGACCTGAAGACATGTCACTGAGTCCTGAACCCTGACCCCCTGGACCAGCTGTGTCAGGATCACTTCAGTATGATGCTGCGGCCTGTCCCAGCTGCCCACGTGACAGAGGCCTCCAGTCATTTGAGAACCCTTGGTGTATGCATACCGTTGGCATCTGATGGATGCCTGATGCGTCCTGGGTAGACATGGAACTTGGCTCATGGTCCCCGGGAGCTGGCTTTGAATCTTGCCTTTGCCTCCTTGGAGTCTGAGATCTTGAACAAGTTGATCCTTCAGTTTCCTTGTGAACTTGGCCCCAGCAGAGCTGTGAAGTCGACCGCATGGTGGATGGCGTGAAGCCTCGTGCCTCCTCCCTTGTTTCCCAGGCACGCAGGGGCCAGGCAGGGTGGAGAGGAGCCTCGCAGACTCAGTGGCAGCTCCCGGACAGGGTATTTGCATGTGACTCCGAGCTGCTGCCTTGATGTGGCCGGGAGGAGGGGGAGGAGGAAGTAGCTGGTTGGGGGAGGCAGGCGGATGGAAGGTTGAGTGAGGGACCTGCGGGGGTGGGGGAGGAGTTCCCCTTCTGGGGAGGCCTGGTCTGGGGTGGAGGTCCGTTGCTCACACACAGATGAAGCAATGCCCCAGAGATACTGGGGTGCAAGCTGCAGGGAGAGCTGCTGGCAGCTTTCTCAATGGGCCCCTGCAACACTTCCTCCAGGGAGTCCTCTCAGGGACTCAGCCCAGTACCCTCTTTCCCTGGTAGGCACCCCTTCTCCTTGCACCACCTGCCTTCACCCGGGCCAGGGAGAAGCAGGGCAGAGGCGAACCAGAGGGGGAACAGCCAAGGCCAGGGAGAGGGGTTGCTTGAGGTATGAATGTGTTGTTGGATGTTGGGCCCGCCTCTGACCAGGATCCTGGCCGTGGACTCCCCCTCTTGCCTTTACCTTCCAGAAGGATGCCTGGAAACACGGAGGGTCATGGAGGGCCAGAGATAGGCCTAAACTCAGGTCTGAGACACCAGGGCTCAGGTCCCGCCATGTTTCTCAGCCTAGAGGCCCTGGGACCTCGGCTGGCCAGTCCTCACACCTGTCTGACCCCTGTTTAAGATTCTCGGGGAAGGAGCAAGCAGTGGTCCATATAAAAGTTGTGCCTCCAGGTGCCTTTGAAAAGTCAGTGATGCTGATGATGCTGGGCCAGCCTCCCCCGCTCAGACGGCCCAGTAACTGCCACTGGGCCAGTTCACACTCCCCACCACTCCCTGTTTCACATCTCCCGTCACTGAGGTCTTAGCAGCCACAGGGGAGGGTGAGCGTATCAAGCTCTTGTGTGCAGGGCACAAGGATCTTGCATACTGTCCCTCCTGCCATCACTTCCCTGGGGCCTTTGACCTCCATCCCTGGGAAGGAGGCCTGGGCGCCTCCTTGGTGGCCCAGGCTGCTCCCCACCATGACGTCTCCAGGGAATGCCCCCTGCCCCACCCCCTTCCCTGGGTCTTGCCTAACACACTTCTTACCATATGATACCTTTCTCTGCTTACTTCTGGGGAAACGCCTGACTCATGCAAAGTTGCTGAGGCTGGCCTCCTGACCAGAACTGCTGGAAATAGCCCTTCCCCAACAGCCACACTGGCCCTCCTAGGCTCAGAGGGCCCCAGCAGTCTGCGTGTTGGAACTCAGCAGAGACATACTGGAACGTGGGTTGGCGGGAGGGGATGGTGCCCAGGCTGCCGCCCACGGTGACTGGACCTTGGCCGGGCTCGGTGGCCAGCAGGATTCGAGACCCAGTGCCTGATCGCTTCCACAGGTGGTGGCGGGAATCGCAAAGGCAAAAGCAAGAAATGGCGGCAGATGCTACAATTTCCCCACATCAGCCAGTGCGAAGAGCTGCGCCTCAGCCTCGGTGAGGCCTTGGCGGAGGCCGGGGCGTGGAGGCCTGCGGGAAGCCTCCCAGGGGGGATACCTCATCCTGGGGCGAAGCACAGGGTTCTGGGGAGTCTAGAGAAAAGGAGGGCGGAGGCTGCACCACCACCCAACCCAGTTTCAGTTCCTGGGCCTGGGGAAGGTGGAGGGTGGAGAGTGACAAATGGGGACTGGGGTGGGGCGAGGAGGACAGGCTGCTTGGGGGCAGGCCCCAAGAAGCTGAGAGAAGAAGAGCCAGGCCTGGAGGTAAGCAGGGCCCAAGGGCCCCGAGAGAGCTGTGGAACTGGAGCCCGCCCCAGGTGGACTGCACTGGGCGCAACAGGCTCTGCTGTGCCCTCAAGCTAGCCCTTGGCTTGGGCACTGGGATGGGCTGGCAGTTCCTGCCTCTCTTGGCCAGCACGCCAGGTCTTGGTTGTCCATGCCCCCTGTGCACGTGGCTGAGGGTGTGTTGCTCCCACCGCCCGGCTGAGCGTGCCCGGAAGCCACAGCTTCCTCCCACACTTTCACCAGACAGACAGCACAGGTGTGGGCCTGAGCCAGGGCTCAGCCAGCACCTCGCAGACCACACCCAGCCCCCTCACTGTGACATACACACACAGACGTCATGTGCGCCAGGAGACCACGGGCATAAGAAGGCCTGGGTTCCAGAGGCTGTACAGCATTGAACTAGTCAGAACCCTCTCTGGGCTTCTCCGTCCTCAGCCGTTTTGAGAGTATCAGTGATGGGTTCAGAAGGAGCTGATGGCTCCTGCACAGCAGGGCCAGGAGCTGGCAGGTGTGTCCCTGCACCCCTCCCGGTGGGCCCCAGCTCTGAGCTTAGCAGCCACCGTCTGTGCCTGCAGAACGTGACTACCACAGCCTATGTGAGCGGCAGCCCATCGGGCGCCTGTTATTCCGCGAGTTCTGCGCCACGAGGCCTGAGCTGACCCACTGCATCGCCTTCCTGGATGGGGTGGTGAGTACGGCCTGAAACCCAGTGCCCAGCACCCAGGGCCGGCCCGAATCCCAGGCCTCCACCCCCAACACCTACCCCCAACACACACACCTGTCACCCTGCCCAAAACCCCAAACCTCTGTGCTTCCTACTCTACAGGCTGAATACGAGGTGACCCCTGATGAGAAACGGAAAGCATGTGGGCGGCGGCTGATGCAGAATTTTCTGAGCCACACAGTGAGTGAGCAGTGATGGAGAGGTGACGGCAGCGGGCAGGGAGAGGAGTGACCACAGCCTGGGCAGAAAGAAGGCCCTGGAGCCGCTCCAGGCAGCACAGCAGGCCCGGAGCCCAGGCGGCCTGCCAGCAGCTCGGCTCTGCTCTGCCTCGGGGTGGGTGGCAGGAGGAGAATCAACTGCTGGGCACGCTGGGGCACCACTGGCCTGCAGCCGCCGCTGGCATCGGCCCTGGGAGTAAGCCGTCAGGGGATCCCCCTGCAGTGAGCCATCTGTGGCCTGTCTCCCAGGGTCCCGACCTCATCCCCGATGTCCCCCGGCAACTGGTGACTGATTGTGCCCAGCGACTGGAGCAGGGGCCCTGCAAAGACCTCTTCCAGGAGCTCACCAGGTAAACCTCCCCTGTCCACAGTCCTGGCATTGCAGCCGGAGGAGTGGCCTCTGGGCCCCAACAGGCTGTGAACAGCTCCTGGCAAAGGCACCCTGTTGCTCTCCCTCCCCTTGCTGCGTGGCCTGGCACGGACTGCCTGAACACACGTCCCCCTACCTGGCAGTCAGCAGGAGGGCTGGCCCATCGGCCCAGAGCCCTGGGGTGTCGGGGCTAACCGGGATGCTGGGCATTCCCTCCCCAGGATGACGCATGAGTACTTGAGCGTAGCCCCTTTTGCCGACTACCTCGATAGCATCTACTTCAACCGTTTTCTGCAGTGGAAGTGGCTGGAAAGGTGAGCTTGTGAGCAAGGCCAGGGTAGGCCAGGTGGCTGGGATGCCCATGGGACCCCTGCCTGCTCAGCCAACATTTACTACTCTGCCCCTTGCCCACAGGCAACCAGTGACCAAAAACACCTTCAGGCAGTACCGCGTGTTGGGCAAGGGCGGCTTTGGGGAGGTGAGTGGCTCGGCCTGTGCACACAGGGCAAGGTAGGGTGGACGCTAGCTAGCTCTCCTAGCAGAGGACGTAGCTGGCCCCCACCTGCCCCATTTCCTTGGCCCCAGGTGTGCGCCTGCCAGGTGCGGGCCACGGGCAAGATGTATGCGTGCAAGAAACTGGAGAAGAAGCGCATCAAGAAGCGGAAAGGGGAAGCCATGGCGCTCAACGAGAAGCAGATCCTGGAGAAAGTGAACAGTAGGTTTGTAGTAAGTACGAAAGGAGCCGCCCCCACCTTCCTTTGGCCACACCCCCTCCCGGCCCACCTGCCGGCCCCTCCAGGCCCCGCCTCCCTGCCCTAGGGGCAATGCAGAAAAGCATATTTGAGGTGTTGATGGGGGAATGGGCAGGGCTTCAAGGAGTGGTGCCCAGAAGGATCTCTGGGGGGTGGGACTTGGCAGCAGCCCCACCACCTGGCAGATCCTGCAGCTCCTGCCTGAGGGTGTGGGTCCCCTTCCCCGCAGGTGAGCTTGGCCTATGCCTATGAGACCAAGGACGCACTGTGCCTGGTGCTGACGCTGATGAACGGAGGCGATCTCAAGTTCCACATCTACCACATGGGCCAAGCTGGCTTCCCCGAGGCACGCGCGGTCTTCTACGCTGCTGAGATATGCTGCGGCCTGGAGGACCTGCACCGGGAACGCATCGTGTACAGGTGGGGGCCATGGGGGCGGTGGGGGCCATGGGGGCAATGGGGGCCTGCGCTTGGCCTGGCTGCCGGCAGCTGCCACCTGCTGGCCAGGCCGGGTAATGGAAGGATCCTGGGTCGTGGCAAGCCAGGAGATCCCAAGGCTGCTGGAGGGGCCCAGTGAGTGCCCCCTGTGTAGGAGCTGTCCTTCTCTGCATCTCCCTACCTGGGCAGGGAGGAGCCCAAGCTCCAAAAATCTCCTCTTCTCCCAGGAGTTGGAGTTGCCCAGGCTGACCTGCCCTTCTCTTCCCCACAGGGACCTGAAACCAGAGAATATCCTGCTGGATGATCATGGTGGGTTGGGGCCCTCCGGGGTGGGGCAGGCGAGGTGGGGAGGCCCACTCTGTTCGTGAGCCCCCTCCCCATTCTCCCACTTTTCCTGCCCCACTCAGGCCACATCCGCATCTCCGACCTGGGGCTCGCTGTGCACGTGCCCGAGGGCCAGACCATCAAAGGCCGGGTGGGCACCGTGGGCTACATGGGTGAGTCACCCCCTGCTCCTGTGCGGGAACCTCGTAGGTCTTGGGGGACCCAGAGGGCCGGTCCTGGCGCTGCTCCTTCAGCAGGAGACCCAGGCTTAGCCTGGTAGTTCTCAGACCACATCATTCATTCACTGAATACTTCCTGCTGGCAAACCCATTTCCGTAGCCCACGCCTTGCCCTGCCCTCTGCACTCTGTGGAATGTCCATCTACCCAGGGGCTGAGGTGTGGCCCCGTGTGACAGCAGGCAGAACCCCAGCTTTGCAGTCTCTGGCTTGTGCTTGTCAGGCAGCCCGCGGCCACACACTGCCCCCAGCTTCATTCTGTGGCTCTCGAAGGCTCATCAGACCCGCCTCCTGGGGCTGCCTCGAGAAAAGAAGAGACTGCAAACGGGGAAAGGCCCCGTGCTTCCCTGGCAGGTTAGGAGGTGGCCAGCAATGAGGAGTTCATTTCCTTTCTTCTTGCCCTTGGGACATCCAGGAGGTACAAGCTGGTAGCCAGCTGGGTCCAGTTTGGCCTAGATTTGAGTTTCCATCAGGTGCTTTTAAGAGTGGCCAACGCTTAGTAAGCGTCACATGAAAAGGATGCAGTTCTGACTTCAGTAGGCCTGGGAATCCCAGATCCGACTCCCTGAAGGGCTGCCTTAACTCTTGCTGCCCCCGGCCCCCTTTTTTGTTTTTATTTATATATTTACTTGAAAGGAAGAGTACCGGAGAAAGTGGGAAGGGAGCAAGAATCTTCCGTTAATCTACTCTCCACATGCCTGCAAGAGCCAGGGCTGGGCTAAGCTGAGACCACAAGCTTACAACTCCATCAGGGTCTCTTCCGTAGGTAACAGGAGCCCAAGGACTATGGGCCATCGTGAGCTGCCTCCCGGTGAATACCAGGAAACCGATGGAAAGTAGAGGAACTCAGACCAGGCCCTCCAGGAGCCAGTGCTGTGGTGTAGCAGGCTAATCCTCCACTTAACAACTCCAGCATCCCAAATGGGCGCTAGTTTGAGTCCTGGCTGCTCCATCTCCCACTCAGCTCCTTGTTTATGGCCTGGGAAAGCAGCAGAGGATAGCTCAAGTCCTTGGGCCCCTGCACCCACATGGGAAACCCAGAGGGGATTCCAGGCTTGTAGCTTTGAATTGGTGTAGCTCAGGCCATTGTAGCCACTTAAGGAATGAACCAGTAAATGAAAGATATCTCTCTTTCTCTCGAACTCTACCTTTCAAACAAAAAATAAAACAAATCTTTAAAATAAAACAGGTGCTCCAATGTAAGGTATGGGTGTTCCAAGAGGGGCAACTTCGCCCACTGTGCCCCAGCAGCTCCCTTTGACGGGACGTGTTCTGCTTGCCAAGGTCCCCAGCAAGCGTCTGATGGTGCTGGCATGGCCTGCTGGGTGTTTGGGTCGATCCCCCAATGTAACATGTGCTGGGCGGTCCCGGGGCCTTAGGGTCCCCTGCCCCCTGACCCCATGCCGCCTCTCTAGCCCCGGAGGTGGTCAAGAACGAGCGGTACACGTTCAGCCCCGACTGGTGGGCGCTCGGCTGCCTGCTCTATGAGATGATCGCTGGCCAGTCACCCTTCCAACAGAGGAAAAAGAAGATCAAGCGGGAGGAGGTGGAGCGGCTGGTGAAGGAGGTGCCCGAGGAGTACTCGGAGCGCTTCTCCCCACAGGCCCGCTCGCTCTGCTCCCAGGTATGGCTGCGCTGGGAGGCCCCTCAGCACCCTGTCCCCACCGGGCCCCTCCCAAGGGCACCCTGACAGCCTTCCCCCACCTGCTGCACCACAGCTGCTCTGCAAAGACCCCGCTGAGCGCCTGGGCTGCCGCGGGGGTGCTGCCCGCGAGGTGAAGGAGCACCCCCTCTTCAAGAAGCTGAACTTCAAGCGACTGGGAGCCGGTATGCTCGAGCCACCCTTCAAGCCAGATGTGAGTGCCCACTCCCCTGAAAGTAGGACCAAGCCGGGGGGGTGGGGGGACGTTGAGCAGGCCACCTGCCTTGCAAGTGTTAGAAGACTCAAGGCAATAGATCCACCAAAGAGAGAAAACTCATTCCCTGGTCTCGCAAATAAGAAACCCCAAGATACGTCTGGGTTTTGCATAGTCAGATAGCTGAAGGGGGGAGGCATACTGTCATAAGAATGCTGTGTCTTCCCCCCGACTGTGCTGTCAAGTGTGGGGTCTTCCCTCAGGCAGGGTCTCCTTGGGGTGTGGCAGCAGCAGCTCCCAGCTGTCCAGGCCCACGTCATACCAGCTTAGCCACCCCAATAGACAGAGCACCTTTGGTGCACTGATTTCAAAAGGAGCACTGAAGTCAGGGCTGGGAGAGTCCTAATGGACCAGAGGACTTTCCCAGCTCGCTCGAGCCCTAGGCCTGCTGGGACCACCACCAGTGAGAGCAGTTCCCTGATGGGGAAGCCGTGGCGCTGTTGGCCGCATGGCTGTGGCTAGCTGCTAGGGGACGCTTCCCCTTACAGAATCCTGCCCATTTGATGAGCATCTTAGTCGGTCGCTCAGGTGCCCATTAGGCAGCAATGCCTTCTAGCCGTCCCGTTCCAGGTGGCAGAAATTAAATTCAAACCTACGTAAGCCCAACATGGAGTTGATGGGTCTGTTGGGCCGGGGAGGCCCAGAATCCGACCAACACAGGACTGTAGCTCCTGGCTCTGCTTCTGCACGTGGGCTCTGTTCCTGCCATCACGTTCAGGCTCTGTGTGTGTAAAGTCACAGGGAAAGCCCCGATTGGCCAAGGTTAGGTCAAGTGTTTGCCTCCTCTCACGGGTGTAAGGGCCTGTGATTGACAGGATCCTTAGAGAAGCCAGAAGGTGAAGGGCAGGCCACATGTCTGTTTCCGAGTTCCCCTATGTGCTCCTAGTCCTGCCCTTATAAGGAGACACAAACCAATAGGCATGAAAGAATTCCAGGTGGCGCTAAGTGCATTGCAGTAAAACAAAGTGAGCTGAGAATGCCAGCTGGTGGCAGGGCATGGGCTGGGCAGGTCGGAGTATCTTTAGACAGGGCAGAGTCTCTGAGGATCTCATGGTCCAGCAGACAGTAAAAATATGTAGAGAGCCAGGCTATTGCTCAGGGCATGAGGATTCCAAGCATCAAGGGCCTGGGGCAGGGAACAGCCTTGTGAAATGGAACAGCAGGAGGAGGCCAGGGTGGCCGGAAGAGCAGGTGTGGCCATGAATGACACGATGACACCTTTTAGGGGGCTGCTTGGCAGGAGTGCAGGGTGTGTGGAGTGGGCTAGACAGGCTATGAGTGGGAATGAGCTGGGGGGCGGCTGCCTCTGAATGATTAGCCCCCATGGTGCACCTCCCTGGTGCCTGGTAGGGTGGGTGTGTTCCTGGCTTAGCACTTGAAGCAAGTGAGCCTGCACTTCCGCCAGCCACGCCCGGGCTGGTCCCTTGCTACTCAAGCTTGCCCCTGCTGGCTGCGCACATCATCTTGCTTTACCTTGAGCTAATCACACTGCCTCTGGACCTTTCCTCAAAGTTCCAGATGGAAATCATCGCCCTGGAACATCACCTCACAGAAGCAGCAGACACACCCTACACAGCTTGGGCTCGTTTAATTCACACTCCCTACCCCAGACCATTGAGCCACTCAGATCATCCAATCCTGTGGCTCTTGTGGCCTCTAGGTCTACTGCCGGCATCACCAAATATTTTTGAATATTTTCATTCCCTGATTCTCCCTTCTCCTTGGCCCCCAGCAAATGCTCATCTACTTTCTGCCTGTGTTGTTGGGTGAGGGCCTTTCATGTGGATGGAAAGGCAGCCTGCGTGCCTGGCTTCTTGCGACCTGTCTCTGGGATTCCCATGCTGTTGCGCATGTCAGGTGACTCTGTTCCCCTGGAAGACCGAACGGTGTCCACTGGGCAGAGAACTGGAGTGCTCACCAGTATGTTCACTGTGACTGATGGTGTGTTGTGTGCAAGCCTGTGTGGGCAGATGCTGTGCAGTGTAGCATCCTTAGGTGCCATGGTTAGTGAACTTAAGACTCACTCCCAAAGCGCTGTCCCCTCTTGCATGAGGATGGTACTCAAACTAACACCCTTAATCATGCCAGCTTTTGTGGGGCTGGCATCACGGCACAGTGGACTGAGCCTCCGCCTGTGGTGCTGGCCTCCCATCCGGGTGCAGGTTCATGTCCCAGCCGCTCCACTTCCCGTCCAGCTCCCTGTCTATGGCCTGGGAGGGAAGTAGAGGATGCCCCAAGTCCTTGGGGCACTGTACCCACATGAGATAACTCAGAAGAGGCTCCTGGCTTCAGGTCAGCCATTTAGAGAGTGACCCAGTGGATGGAAGAGCTCTTATGTCTCTCTGCGTTTTTAATAAACAAAACCTTTAATAGTAGGCTTTTGAAAAACAGCATCAAGATGAGAAGGAAAGTGGTGCCCTGGATCTGAGGTGGGCTCCCAGCAGCGGGCTGGCTGGTGGGAGGGGCTGGAAGGCCATTCTAGTGCTTTGATTGGCTATAAACAGGAAGCCACCAAACACCTGATGGCTGGGGCTCCACTGCTCTGTGGCCTATAGGGGAGCTGCCTAGAGCAAAGCACCTGCTGAGATTCAGCCTGTTCCCCCTTCAGCAGTTACCCCCTGCACAGCACAGGGACAGGGGGTGGCCTGCACCTGGCCCCTTCCAGTACTGATCATTGAGGGACTAGGGCAGGGCTTCAGAGAAGGAACTGCTGCTTTGGCGGGGGGTGGTACCTAGGGCACCTGGTTTCTCTAAAGCAACCCGGTCAAGGCTGGAGTGAGACTTGAGGGCCTAGACCATGGGCATGCATACATGCGCCATGTCTTCCATCTGACCTCCGCCTCTGCTCGCAGCCCCAGGCTATTTACTGCAAGGACGTGCTGGACATTGAGCAGTTCTCCACGGTCAAGGGCGTGGAGCTGGAGCCCACCGACCAGGACTTCTACCAGAAGTTTGCCACTGGAAGTGTGCCCATCCCCTGGCAGAATGAGGTGGGGCCTGGGGGAGGCTGGGGGTGGAGGTGGAGGGTCCAGGCCCGGGCCATTCTCACTTCGCCTGTTCCTCTGCAGATGGTGGAGACCGAGTGTTTCCAGGAACTCAATGTCTTTGGGCTGGATGGCTCGGTTCCCCCAGACCTGGATTGGAAGGGCCAACCGCCCGCACCCCCCAAAAAGGGACTGCTACAGAGGCTCTTCAGTCGCCAGGTATCTCAGCCTGGGACCGCCTACCACCCAGACTGGCTCCGGGGGATGACGGGTGGGGAGGCAGGGCCAGTGCCCGCATGTGGTGCCCAGGGTCTCTGGCCTCATGCCCGCCTGTCCCTGACTCCTGGCTGGGCTCATGGCCTCTTTTCTCTTTCCAGAGGTGAGCAGTGTGGGCTCCCCGTGGGCTGGCTTTGCCATCTGGCCTCGGGGAGCCCCTGGGCAGCCCTTCCGTGGCAGAGGCGAGATGTGGGAGAAAGAAGTCTGGTGCCCGCTTCTTCCCTCCCCTCCCCGACCCCACCCCGCTTCACGTCCCTGCCCTGCAACCCCTCCCTGCCCAGCACAAAGGGCCGGATGAAGGCCCTGCCCTGGCACATCTTGGGGTCTGCCTAGCCTCCCCTCCTCCCGGACCCCACTGCCACCTGGCTCACTTCAAGATGCTCTAACCCCTCATGAGGAGCCCCCTCCCTAGGCGTGACCCACCCCAGGGTGCTCCTGGCCTGCCCCGGCTGGGTGGCCCAGCAGCTAACCACACACGCTCTGCCTCTCTCCCTCCCTCCCTCCGTGTCTTCCCTGTCCCACCTCCAGGATTGCTGCGGAAACTGCAGCGACAGCGAAGAAGAGCTCCCCGCCCGTCTCGAGCTCCCCGCCCGCCTCTAGCCCGCAGTCCGAGGCCCCCAGCGGCGACTGGCGGTAGCAGCTCCTCAGGAGTGCTGTTTACAGTTTGCACAGTGGTCTTCCCCATGGTCCACTCAAGGCGTGGCCCTGGGGAACATAGCCGCCGGAGCTGGCCCCCAGTGTCCTCTAGCCCCTCAGCCCCTGGCCCCGGGCTGAACTTGGCAAGGCCTGGGTGACGGTTCCTGGGACAAAGGTGCGTGTCCCTTCGTCTCCTCCAGAACTTGGGGGGAATCTCTGTATTTATGTCTTTGTACGAATGTATATAGGAAAGAGCATTCTTAATCTCCCATGCTGGACTGGCCTGCTCTCAGCTCCCCGCCGGAGCAGACTGCCCAGAGGAGCCACTGCCAAAGTCAAGGCTCTTCGGGTCCAGATCACATGGACCAAGGCTGAGCCAAGACAGACCACCCCCCCCCCTCGAGCCCCCAGCACCATGCCGGGCACCCCTGACCTCCAAGTGAGACTCGTGCCTACCCCTGCTGGCCTGGGTTCAGGCTGCCGCCTTCTGGGGTCCAATACTGTCCTTCCTCCATGCTTAGCAGAGCTGGATCTGGGGACCCTCTGTGTCCTATAGGCTTGGGCCAAAGTGTGACCAGTGATCAGGTGACTGTGGGAGCTGTCCGTCCACCACCCATGCTGCCCCAGACGGTCTGCCACTGCCTTCCAGCTCCCAGGTTGCTGGCCCTGTCCAGAAGACACCCCAGTGAGATGTGCCCCGACTTAGACTACAGGAGGAGGTGGGGTGTCCTGGCCAACCCTGAGACATTCCAGACTCCCCTGGTAACCATAGACACACGGGCCCAGCAATAATCCAGTCTGTGTGTGTGTGTGTGTGTGTGTGTGTGTGTGATGGTGTAGGGTGAGGTGTGCCTGTGCCCCAGGCCCCAGCCCAGGCCCTTCCCACACTGTGTGTGTGTGTATCGGGGTGTGTGTGATGGGGTAGGGTGAGGCTGTGCCTGTGCCCCAGGCCCTAGCCCAGGCCCTTCCCACACTGTGATGCGCAGCCTGGTCCCAGTGTTAGGGTAGCACAGGATATCAGGGCCTTGGTTTCTCCATATTTAAAGCCAATTTTTATTACTCGTTTTGTCCAATGTAAGCTGCCACTTGTCTGTGTGAATACAGTCCAAACACAAACCTGGCCAGCTGCCCCTGCCTGCCTCCTTCTTCCTTTTCTGTTCCAGGGGTCTGCCCACTGCCCTTGCCTGCCTCCTCCTTCCTTTCCTGTTCCAGGGGTCTGCCTGCTGCCCCGGCCCAGCTGGCAAGGGGAGGGGATTAGAAGTAGGGAGGAGTGGTACCCTGGAGTCACCAGGCTGATTGTGGCATAGCCTGTCGGAGCAGCCAAGCCTGTCTTTGGGTTACCTCCAGTGGGTTTCCTAGTTTCCACTACAGGACAGGGCTGGAGGAAAAACTCCTTGGGGACCCCCTGGGATGTAGGTCTTTGTGCTAGAAAGACAGGCTGCAGCTGGCTTGGCTGCCCAACGTGGACTTGGAGTGGCCCCGGGGATTACTTGGGAGCACCTGCTGTGGGTCCCTCTGACCCAGATGCCTGCCATGTGCCTGGCCTCAAGTGCACATGTATTAAACCTGAACGGCCAAAGACCCGGATGGTGGGGGTTCCACTGCGAAGGTTTCTGTGCCACAAGGGGAACCACTGAGGGCCTCATGGGGAGTTGTTTGCAGACAGCAATGGAACCAGGCCTGGGAGAAAAGCGGCATCTGGTGGGCACAGTGGAATCAGGGAGAGCCTTGATGAGGGACCCACCTGTGCAGACCCATCACTGCTCTACCAATGCCTCCGAATCCCCAGCTCCTGCCCCTCAACCAGGGTGCCCCCACAATCACCATTTTACTCAACTCTAGGCTGGGCACATGAACCACACAGTGAACAGTTCTGGGTCCAAGCTTCAGGCAACTGGCTTTATACAGGCCCTTGCCTTGTCCTGAAGGATGTGTAAGGCCGCTTGTCTTGCAGGTCAGTTAAGAAAATCCAGTTGAGCAGCCAGTCAATGGCCAGGATCCCTGTGAAGGCCCTGGCCGGACTTTCAGCGTGGGGAGTGTGGTACCAGGTACCATTCTCACGGCCATCTCCAGGCATCCAGAAGGGGGCTGTTGTTGGGGTGCCTGCATCCTCTTGTATCAACTTGAGGGAATGGTGCTGGGGGCAGGCAAGGATTGCCCAAGGTCATGCAGTTGGCAAGTGGCCACTGAGACTTGGAGAAGCCCAGTAAGGGGCAAACACTGGGTGCCTCGGGAGGTGTGAGATTGGGGCCTGAGAGGCCTTTGCTCCTGTAGTCCAGACTGCTTGCGGGTAAGGATGTGATGGCTAGGTAGCTATCAGCATGCATGGTCCTTTGACCCGGGCAGATGTGCCAAGATGAGCGGTATCAGGGACACGAGCAGGACTCCAACCCAGGCCCTCAGGCCAGCATAGCAGCTGGGGAGCTTCTGAGCTCCCCTTGGTTAAGCTCACCTTCGATGTCTGACGTCGCCGGATCCTTAGCAGAGATGACTCCTAGAATTTGTTTCTCAGGACCACCACTGACCCCTCCAACCATCCCCCCCCCCCGCACACACACACACACCCTGTCCATGAGTTTACCTCCTCCCCAGCCAGCTCTGCAATGGGACCTAGGGACCCATATGGAGATGAAGCCCTGCCAGCTTGGAGCTTAATCTAAGAGGGCAGCAAATGTGGGAAGTGATGAGTGCTAAGACAGAGGAGGCCAGGACTGGCAGGGCGGTGGACAGCAGCAAGCAGGTCACTTAGCTGCTGGAGTGTGTCCCTTGTGGGACACGGGGTCAGATGGTCGGCCAAAGGCCTCTAGCTCCTGATGGCTAGGCTAGAAGGCTGTGGCGGTTGCAGGAGACGCCTTGATGGGCTATGTGCCCTTGTAGTTGCATAGGCACTCCACGTTTCCTCTGAACTGCCTCACACCCCATCCTTGCGCCTCACATGCACCTGAACTTGTACCTACAGTGTAACATGGCTCCATACCCCCTGAGAGTATGTGACCCCAGTGGGGACACTCAGAGGGACAGCCCCACCCTCCAGCTAACTCAACGTGTTCAGTGGCCACAGAGGAGCCCAGGTAGGAAGCGTCAGAACTAAAGTCCTGGGGTCTCCAAGGCAGGGCTGTTTCACCAACACACCAGGAAACAGGATACTACGGCCACTTTAGCATCCTGGAGTCCAACTCTAAAGGAGTCTGAATGCCCAAGCATTCAGGTGGCAGGAGCAGAGCCCTTGAGGGCCGGCCGGCCGTGACAATGGTTGTCCAAAAAGTCACAGTGCTCCTCCCCAGAGGAAAGAGGATGGATACTGGGTGGCCATTCCGTGTGGCACACACGTCCCTTCCCTGATGCATGGCCTCCAGAGTGGGTCACTGAGGGGCATGGCCCTGTGGGTATTTGTTTAAGAGAACTGGGAGCCTTTCTCCTCTGGGGATAGGTGGCAAGATACAGCACAGGAAGCGTGGAGATGGTGCCTGCCCTGCCTATGGAGAAGCTACCTAAGAGCAGGACAAGCAGGGAAGCACACACAGGCTAGATGCCATTGCCCAGATACCTGGCCGCCACCTGCTACTGTCTGAGCTCATTTTCCCAACCCCATTATGTGCGCTAGGGAACTTGAAGCAGAACCCGGCAGAGGAACCAGGACAGCCCAGACTCGGACGGGGCCGCAGTGCGCCCTCGGAAGGGGTCAGCTCCTTACTCCCGAGGCGGTACTGCACTACATCCGAGGAACTACCTGGTGGTGATGATGGCTGCTGGGGACGCAGCGGGAGGGCTCAGGAGTGACAAAGAGCCACGCGGGCCTGCCTGCTGCGTGTGCGCGTCGGGTTTTAGCTTCAGCGGCTGGGCCGGCTACTCCGCATGTACCGTCCATGTGTGCGCCCCGGACAGCCTGTTGCGTAGGCCTTCCCGCTGGCCCGATGCACCTCGGGGGGCGCGAACCCGCCGCCGGCCGCCGGAGCTCGCGGGGCAGCCGTCTTGGCGGCGTGTGGCTGGGGGCGGGGGACCCTCTGCTGGCGGCCGCGCGCGCGCACGCCGGGCTCGGCACGCGCCGGGGACGCGCCCGTGCGCGCGCCCCGCGCCTCCAGCCCAGCGCTCGGGAGCCGCTTTGGCTGCCACCGTCTGCTCCGGGGGGCTGCGGCCGCCGCCTCCTTCAGGCCGAGGGCTCTGTCCGCTGAGCTGCGCGCTTCAAGCCAGGAGGACCAGCTCGAGGAGGATGCCCGGGCCCGTGAGTACCGCGGCGACTACGGGCCGGGCGGGCACAGAGCGCGGGCGGAAGATGGTCCAGGGTTCTGAACCCCTCCCCGCGGAACGGCTGTGAACCCTGGCCCGGGGTCGCCGCCCCGAACCCCTCCGTCCCCCACTCCCGCCGGGGCCTGGGAGCCCCTCCCCCAGCCCACACTGGAGGGAGGCAGGGAGGGAAGAGCGCCAGTGAGCGAGGCAGCCCGAGCGGGGCGCGAGCCGCCACCAGTTCGCTTGGAAACCGTTGCCACAGCAACGGGGTTGCGCTCCCCGGCAACGCGACTGCGGGATGGCGACGCCCCCTCCCCCTTTCCCGCCCCACGCGGGGCCACAGCCCCGGGGCGCGCGGGTGGGCGCACGGTGGGGATGGGGGGAGGTAGAAGGGCGTCCCTCCGACCCGGCAAGGTGTGCCTGCCTACCAGCCGGTCCGGGGTGGGGGTGGGGGCGAGCGCCTCCGTGGGCACGAGCTGGCTCCCACGTGGCTGCAGTCGTCGCAGCGGGGCTCCTGGGGTGGCTGCAAGTGTGGAAGAGACCCAGACCCCGGGGGCCTGCCGCGGGAGGAGGGGTCTGGAAGCCGGGCCCGGGATCCGTGGGCCAGAACCCCCACATCATCGCTACCACCGTTGGGGCTTTTTTGCCTCCGGGCGGCCCGCCCGCGGGCCACAGGGCCTGGTCAAGTTGCATTCCCCAAGGAGCGATGTTCCTTACCGGGGGAGAGGAAGGCGGTTCCCATCTCTCCTCCTCACGGCCAAGGCGCGTGCCAAAACCTCCGCCACCGCCGCGGGGAGCTGGCAGCGGATCCCCCCAGGAGGGGTGCCCAGGGCGGGCAGGAGCAGAGGAGAGGACATTGCTGACCCAGGGAAGCCGAGGCCCAGGCCAGATGGGAGCGACCCAGTCCATTGTCTGGATTACAAGTGTCCCTTTCTTGTGGGAGCACAATGCCTAGCCTGTGCCCGGTGGTGCCAAGGTTGGCCCGCCTGGAGACCAGCGCCACATGGAAGTGGCTGGTCCTCCAGGGGAGCGCCTCTGCTAAGAGAATGGCGGCTGAGTCAGAGGAAGTGACCTCTGGCTTTCCTCGCAGCCGCCCCTCTGCTGGCCCTCCTGCCAGCTCTCCCAGGCCTGACTCAGCAGATG